CGCGCGATCGCGAAATCGAAAGTGAACTGCGACTGCGAGCGCTCATTCAAAAGGGATTTAAATACCCCACATATTGATAGCGGCACCCTGATGTGCGAAAATTATATACAATATTAGAATGTTTGCGGAGCGGATGGGAGCGTGCGGTAATGGTCAGAAATTCAGCGAGAGCGGGATCAACAAGCCCCGCGCTATCACGCAGCAGTGCAGTCAGTCAGTGAGCGCCGTAACAGATGACGTCAAATCTTGCGGGATTCCATAAATAAATAAATAAACGACACAGAACCCCACTATTCGGACAAATAGACATAATGAAAAGATGATACAAGATGTAATACCTTGGAAAATGGCATTTAAGACTTTTTAATACTTTTTAAGGGCCTTAATTTTCTCTAAATTGATTTATCAACGTTTAATACTTTTTAAGACCCCACGGACACCCTGAAAAATGTAAAAGGAAAATAAATAATTTTAAAGTAACATTCATCAAAATAAAACGAAAAATAAATATATTTTATTTGTGACCATTAAACAATATCAGAGAACTGTGAACATGCGATACTCAATTATTAAAATATTTATTTTAATGTCTCAGGGGTACTTCAAGTAAATATATTTGGTGAAAGTGGTTTGGCTGGCAAAAAATGTTTGGGAATCCCTGCATTACATATAAATAAAAAACAACGTGAATTTGTGCATTTAAATGTGTTTGAAAGACAAAAGCCTTCCGAAGACATAGTAATGCATGGTTAAATAACCTACTGAGTGATAATTCAAATAAAAATGAGTGTGTTCTTCAGTAGTTGATGCAATGTTGAAATTCTGAGAAAACACTTCTTAAAATTAAAATGATTTTTGTAAATCCAGTGGTCAAATGCTGTGAAGCCATCTGACCAGTGACTGATCTCTGTGTGAATGTCCACAAAACTCATAGACTCTCCCAGTGTATAAGCAGTAGTCTATTTTAGAAAGGAACATTTAAAAGATGAAAAATAGGAATTAGGAAGAATCAATAATTTATGAATAATTTATTTGCAATTGTGTGAATAATATGCAATTAGTAAAAAAAAAAGTAACTGTAGTCTAGCTGATTACGAGTATTTTAAAATGTAATTTAATCTACTTACAAGTATTTAATCTTTGGAATCTGATTTTCCCAGTCTCCCCTACATTATATTAAGCGTGAAGCCGAAAGTTTTTTACGCACAGCCTTTTAAAGTATATCCTCTGATACCGTGCACGACACATGCGCACTAGAAAGCTTCATCATTGTCCAGTGTCTGCCCTTTTTCTCTCCAAGAGTTATGAATGATAAAAATGTCTTTGTACTCGTTTAAACTAGTGTTGACGGCCTCTTTTAATCCCGTCACGTGAGCAATGGGTCTATTGTTCTGTCTCCTCCGTTTCTTTTCCGACTGTGAAACAACAGCCCGGGACAGTGTTGCCACCTTGTGGATAAACTGAATAGTGCAAAAAAAAAAAAATCGGGTTCGGAAGGTTCGTACAGAAAATCGGGCTGCGTGTGTACTGTACTGCACTGTGCTTATGACGAAATTCGAGTCACGCGCACTGTGCGCACTGTACCCTAGCGTACGCGCAAAACCAAGGTATACTTAGGGCATAACGGAACGTTTCTGGGTATAACATACCATAATTATGGTAATATTGTGACTTTTTTTTATTGGATATGTGCCAGTGTTATTGTAGCATCATTGTTATACTGTTATAGTTTTATTAATATTGTAAATATTTTTTTTAGTTTGGATTTTAGTTAGCTTTAATAATTTCTATTTTTTATATTATATTTATGTCTATCCTTTTATTACTTTTTTATTATATTTTTATTTATTTCCGTTTTTAGTTATTTCCTTTTTTATTATTTTATTTTAGTTAACGTTTATTTCAGGTAACACATTTTTTTCAAGGTTTCTTTTTTTAATGGTTTTAGTTAGCCCATCGATAATAACCTTGATTTGTACCATGCACTACTATGATTTTTTTATTTATTTATTTATTTTTTTGATATGTACCATAGTAGGTAAAGGTGTTTTATTCTTTCACTCTTTTACATACAGTCATGGTATTCTTTGAATTCTACTTCAGAGATCACAGTCATCATCAGTGTTTTTAGTGACGGAAAACAACTCAGGAGTGTCCGGTCTTATGCGTTATATGCCTTATGCGTTATTTTAATGTCATGCCGCTTTTCCGTCACTAGGGAGAGATATGTGAACTCTCTCTCTAAAACCGCGTCCCGCGGCAGCACACGCGTACTCACTGCAGCACCGTCCCGTCGCGGGATGGATGAACCGGACGCGGCGCATCAGCGGAACGGGCCCGCCGCGGGTGCGAGCATGCACGGGCTGTTTACGGACGCGGACACCGGGCGGCTCACACACGCGCTGACTCTGTCGGACAGCTGCCTGACGGTCCAGAACATCAGCTCCCCTTCATCGTCGGAGCACCTGGACCTGCGCGACTGCCTGGGGAGCCGCGCGCACCGGGGCGAGTGCGAGGACCAGAGCGCGGATCTGTGCGTATATTTCTACCCGTGCCGGCACCGCTGGATGGCCTCGGGTCCGGTTCGCCAGAGGGGCGTACTCACTGCAGCACCGTCCCGTCGCGGGATGGATGAACCGGACGCGGCGCATCAGCGGAACGGGCCCGCCGCGGGTGCGAGCATGCACGGGCTGTTTACGGACGCGGACACCGGGCGGCTCACACACGCGCTGACTCTGTCGGACAGCTGCCTGACGGTCCAGAACATCAGCTCCCCTTCATCGTCGGAGCACCTGGACCTGCGCGACTGCCTGGGGAGCCGCGCGCACCGGGGCGAGTGCGAGGACCAGAGCGCGGATCTGTGCGTATATTTCTACCCGTGCCGGCACCGCTGGATGGCCTCGGGTCCGGTTCGCCAGAGGGACGAGCGGAGCTTTCGGCTCGCGCTCAGTACAGATGATAATGATGAGGACGCGAACCTGCGCGAGGCGGAACGTTGGGCGCGCGCCATCAGGCACAACAGCGCGCGCCGCCCGGAACACACGCACGGTAAGAAACCAACTTATTACAGAGTTTAAACTCCTGTTTACTCAATAAACAGGCTTTTATGAGCGTGTTCGATAACACTTTGCAACAATATAACATCAACAAACATTACACAACTCTAAAAAAAAAAGATCATGCTAATACCATGTTTTTTTTTGCACATATACCTTGATAATGTTGCAATTCCTTGTCAATACCATGGTACATGAATATGTTAATCATTCAGTATTTGATTTTTTATTACCATGGCACTACCACAGTACGTTTTATAAACACATCCAGCTAACAAAATATGTTTTAATAATGTTTTGCTATCGTTAGGTTCTAAAAATGTTACTTCTGAACGTTCTCCGAAGGTTTAAAAATGTTTTTCGTCGTTATTCGAACGTCAAGGAAACATTCTATTTCATCATTTTGCGAACATTATGTTTTCTAAACTTTCTGACGCAAGTGATAACATTTAAAAACGTTAGACGAACGTTCTAATAAAACGTTTAGGGAAAACCTTCCATAAACGTGTGTAAATAACGTTTTTTATTTAATTTTTTATATATATTGTTTAATCTTTTGAGAACATTATTAAAGACCAGATAATTTTGCATGAACGTTCTATTAACACTACTGGAAGAACCTTAGTTCGTAACTTTGCCTGAATGTCCCTGTTAGCTGGTTAGTTACTAGTACTAGTTGTTAGAACTCACTTTAGCCAGTGACTAATAAAAAGTACAATGAAAATACAGTGATCTGTGTATGTGCGCACAGTAATCATTCAGTACTGTGGTAAATATTTTTACTGTGTCAGCGAGACATGCCTGTTCCTTACATTCACACACGGTTTCGCCTGTTCAACCAGTGATGATGAGGTGTGACGGTTTGCCAGGAGGAAAATATGACAGCTAGATCACATACTGAACTAGTCTGACCTGCTGGATGACAAGTCGTCGCTGTAATTTATGTGGTTGATCACGAATGGTCACGAACCTGAAATGCATATGTTTTTAACATCTGATAGAGGTAGATATGATCTTGCTGTGGTTAGATTTGTTCTGTTTTTTTTGCTCATGGTGGACATGAATTACTGTGTGAGATGATGCTCAGATGTGAAGAGATGCTGAGAGGACACGAGGTGTCACCCGCAGACATATGGGACACGTCCATCTCCATCTGTCTGCCCTTGTGTCCAACACTGAGGGGTGTAACCCTGTAAAGCCTGACATAAAAATAGAAAGAAAAAAAAATTTCTGTATAAATGAAAGAGTTTATACTTGCATATGTTTTTTTGTTTGTTGATTATCATATCTGATACACCAGGCTTGTATGGCTCATTTAGTCTGATATAGTGAGAATATGGAGGAAGAACACCTAATTTTTTTCAGAGCCCCAAAATGAGCAAAACTATCTTTGAACACATAAAAAAAGGACAGACTCTTCCTGCAAGTTTTGTCGGATGCCGTTTGTGACAGTTTTTCTGTTTCTGCTATAAAAAGCTGAAACACTCACCGGAGACTCAGTCCGGCACAGACTGCTCGTTCCAGCAGATATTTGATCAGGACGAGACACATCTGGGCTTCTAGAACTGGAATGAGGAAGTTCTGAATGATGAGGTCGTTTTAATTGATGATTCTAGGTTACCATGGTAACTCAGAGTTATAGTTGAAGGTATAGTGAGGTACCGTGAGGACAAAACAAACCTCATACCAATGTGTTTAAGGAATAGTTCAACAAAAAATGGAAGTTTGTTTATATTTACTCACCATCAGGCCATCCGAGATGGAGATGAGTTTGTTTCTTCATCAGATTTGGAGAAATTCAGCATTATATCACTTTCTCAGCAATGGATGCTCTGCAGTGAATGGGTGCCGTCAGAATGAGAGTCCAAACATCTGATAAAAAACAATAATCCATCCACAAATAATCCACTCCTTCACTGGAGGAAGCGTTATTATGGATTATGGACTCGTATTTTAGCTGGAAGCAATGGTTTGATGTTAAAAACGTCTTAATAATGGATTTGTTTCTTACAAACACACAATGGATGCTCTGCAGTGAATGGGTGCCGTCAGAATGAGAGTCCAAACATCTGATAAAAACATCACAATAATCCACAAATAATCCACTCCTTCACTGGAGGAAGTGTTATTATGGATTATGGACTCGTATTTTAGCTGGAAGCAATGGTTTGATGTTAAAAACGTCTTAATAATGGATTTGTTTCTTACAAACACACAGCTTTTGGCTTCACAAGACATTAACTGATGGACTGGAGTGGTGTGGATTACTTGTGGATTATTGTGATGTTTTTATTAGCTGTTTGGACTCTCATTCTGACGGCACCCATTCACTGCAGAGCATCCATTGTTTTCATTTTGGGTGAGCTATTCCTTGAACACATTGGTAAGAGGTTTGTTTGTCCTCACGGTGCACTTAAGAGTGAAAAGAATGAGCCAAATCAAACACAGTAAATCCTTACGGCAAAATATCCCTGCATCAAAGACATCAAAGAATTCATAGCAATGCATATTCATGTGCGTATGCGCATATTTATGATGGCTGTTATCTCTATATTTCTATATAGTTCTTTGAGTATTTCTGCAGCCCAAGACAGTGGTATTTATACAAAAGTAAAGACAATGATATCAGTGTCTGAGCTTTCTAGATATTGTAAATAGCTCTCTAATACATGTAATTATGTAAACAAGTTCAAGTAAATGTATGCATCTTAATAGCCTTTAAAGTGTGTAATTTCTGTACCACTATCAGCACCAAACTATTATATACTATACATGTACATATTTACACGTATGCAAAGTTTTTTCATCAAAGATGCATTAAATTAATCAAAAGTGACAGTAAAGACATTTATAATGTTACAATTAGTGTTGTCAAAAGACCCGGTACTTCGGTACCAAGTCGGTACTAAAAAAATGAAAACGTTACGGTAGCAGGTTTTTTTAAGTACCGAGTACCCGGTCAACCCGATGCGGTATCCGAAAGGTGCGCAGATGCGCTCTCTTCATAAAAGCACTGAGACGTGGCGACATCAAAACGAGGAAACACACCAAACTAACAAAACACTTTAAAGACAGACACACGGATCAAATGAAAGAGTTCAAGCTGGTAAGTTTCATTTTAATTTTTAATATTTAGATCAGTGTTTCCCATACATTGATTTATT